CACAAACCGCAAAACCAAAACCCACGAACGGAAACTGCAAAAACTACAATACGGAGGAATATGGCGTCGGAGGCGGCGGCACAGGTCTTCCCCGGTGCGCAAGAGCTCGCGAACTGGCATCTGTCGCGGGCGCGCCGCACGGCGACCTTGGCTCGAAAAAAACAACAACAGCGCGAACCGACACCGGGACTGAGTTACCGCGGCAGGCGGGAGCGGAAAACCGCGGGGAACCCGGTAAGCCACGGCCTGGCACGAGCGGAGGGTGTCGGGCGACGAAAAAAGCGTCGGGAAAAGGGGGATAATCGAAGGAAACCCCACTAATTCGGGTCGGATGAGCACCGCGTCGCGGGGAGGGGAGGGGGGGCGCCCCGGTCTCCGACCGTAATCCAACTTTCACTTACTCGGCTCGAGATTACCCAACAGACAATAAGCCCNNNCCGACGTCGTCGTTCGCACGCTCTCTTTGCGCTTCGAGTTCTCTGTCTCTCTTTCGCTCCCCCTCTGTTTCTCTTTCGGTCTTTCTCTGCGCCCTCGCGAGCGAGCGTTGCCGTTTTGATGGTTTCGGATGGTAATCCTGGTCTCCTTAGGTTTTAGAAGCGACAGAGATGGACTTCTGGCGTAGATCCGCTAGTAACTTACATGGTAAGGTCATGTTCAGAGAATGGTAGGAGATAGGTTGCCGAAAGGTCCTAAATTGGGTCCTCTTAGGAGAGGGCCCAGCGAAGAGAGCGCCTCTAGAAGGTGGAGGGATGGAATTGAAGTAGAAATGTCAAGGTGCTTGATGCCCGAAGGATTATGGTTCCATAGGGGACAATGGCAGTGAAGTATCGTAAAACGCAAGTAGAGCGATATGTATGTACATCATAGTTTCATAGACTTGCATCCAAGATAGTTGCGTTGTCTTTATCTTCTAAACCGGAAGACGGAACCGAGCAGGTGCAATGAAAATAATGAGAGGAGGAAGAAAAACAAGAGACAGAATTAATTAGAGAAAGATGGAGGAGGGATGAAAATGGATAGGAGAAGATTGAGAGTTGAGTGGTTCTTATATTTTTCTTATTAGAAAGTATATTTAATAAGAAGCCCTTCAATTTTTTTTTAAATTTAGTAAAGTGATGTTATAAACCAAAAACTAGGGCCTTTTTCTGGAGCTATTGACTTTTTCATCGTTTGGCTTATTCTTCAGCACTACTTAGACGTAAAAGCTTAGTAGGAACTCCTGAATTTTACCATCAATATCTTAATCTGATCCTGCTGCAGATCCCACTTTTCTGGATTTTTCATCCCCGCGGAAATCCTTGTATTTTCTTGCTTTTCCCGGATTCTAGGTTTCATGCACCAAATTGACTTGACCTCTGATCTTTCTAGACCACCGCACACGCAATCGCTCTCTAAAAGCTTGTTTTTCCTCAAAAAGAAAGCTCTATTTGCCGAGGAGTTTGAAACATCGCAGTGAGGATTTCCAAGTCATCAATTCGTGTTTCCGTAGCTACGACTATTATTTACCTAGCAAACGATAAAGTTGACCCGGCAATGCGGACTGGTAATCGGTTCGTGATCGCGGCATGACCAAAGTTCGGCACCGCTCCTCTGCAATTACCGAGACTGCCAAACCGTCGCATGATCCCTGCTCATTCCACCCGAAAAAGTGAATCAATCCGCAGAACTGGCAACAGCGGTGTAAACAAAGTTTGCAAGGACCGGTTCCATCATAGTCGAATTTGAGGAATATTTCAGTCGGGCTCGGCAGTAGAGCATGTAAAAAAGTCGATTCGAAGCACAACTTCTCAACGGCGACCGGTTGCTGTTTGGCACCTCTCGATCGGGCGGTGGCCTTCCACCTCAGCGTTTCGGCGACCGGTTTGAGTGTTGACTTACTTGACGCCCACCAGAATGCGCGGGCGATGGGCTTACCATGGACGCCGGCTCTTGCTCATACATTCTTATTCGGCGTATAACCCCAAGTTTTGCATGAGCATGACCTTCAGCAGAATCTGAAGAGAGCGTGGAGGCCCTCGCGAGAATGGAGTTTAGCCAAGAATCGGGGATTTAAGATTTGATCTTCACTGATAGCTACATTTACACCAGAAACCCGATGGTGACATTGGTTTTGTCTCATTTACACTCTGAAGCTCATAACAAGCTTCCAAAAAAGAGAGAGAGAGAGAGAGAGAAAACTTTAGCTTTACATAATACAAAGCAATTTAAAAAGCTGGTAACAAGGCTAAAAGTTCACAAACAAGATCAAAACGTTTCGGCTGAAAATTCAGCCATTCTCAGTTGGATAAATAAAAGTAAAAGTGGTAAAAAATCTAAGTACCTGACTGCACCTTTCAAAACGAAAATGTACGGTATTATTAATCCAACTGAGGATGGCTGAATTTTCAGCCGAAACGTTTTGGTGTTGTTTGTGAACTTTTAGTCTTGTTACTAGCTTTTTAAATTGTTTTTTTTTGTATATCTTGCTACGGGCTGCGGAGCATCTATCGTATCTCTTTTGGCTTCACTTAGTCATACTAAAAAAACCGCCGTAAGTGCATTGATAGATTTTCAAATTTTCTTAGGTAAATATGGACATAAACAGAAGGCAATATGAGTCCCTTTCCATACTTTTTTCAGGAATTTTGGAATGAATTGCGGATGTAATTTCCTGTCTAGTTCAAAGAAAGAAAATTCATAAATTATTTGAAAAGTTCAGATTTCATCAGATAGCAAAGTCCGACTGTTGGTACAGCGATTTTCTAGGCACGGCAGTATATTAGATTTATAATTAAAAAAAATTACGTAAGAAGAAATGGTTAAATTAGACAAACAGAATTAGACAATCACGCTCGACAAGAAAAATTCCTCATTGTTTCCTGATTTTTTTTTGGTGGTCGTTACTTTTGAAAAGTAGGTATCAATGATCGAATCAGGGGCGGATCCAGCAATCTGGCAACAAAAAATTTCCTCCCTTTCAAACCTATTTTAAATAATCGATTCTTGTCGGAGCACCTGACAACTTCAAGAATCGATAAATTTCCAAAGGTTTAAATGGAGAAAAACGATGTCGCCGATTTGCTGAATACGCCAATGGATCGAATGTGGTCATGCGATATGGGGCACTGATCCATTTTCAAATGTAAATTTACATAGCCCGGCTCAAAACCCTCGAGGGGCCCCAGAATCCGGTCAATCGAAAAAAAGCGATTAAGGGGCGCGCGAGTGAGTAAAAATTTAGGCGAGTGTCTTTTACGACCGATGTAACGTTACGACACCCGTAATTTCTCATTTCATTGTGAAAGAAGCCTCACTCGCCGGCCGCGCGGACAAACCGATTCTCCCAGAACAGCGAGTCATCCTCAAAGAATGAGAATCCTCCCGCATGGTTGCTCGATGAACGACATATTCTCTTTTCACGCCGGATGCGAGGAAGCTCTACTGTTTAAAAAATTGGCCTTTCATCCTGGATGGAGTGATAACAGCGCTGGACTCCCCGGAAAATTCACGATCAATCTATTTATTGCTCTAAACTCTTTGCCTCCTCTTAAAAATTTCACAGTTTGTAAGTCACGTAAAGCGATTTATCCGTTTTTCACGGTTTTTTCTGATATCATCATGCAGTTCATAATCTCTACATACGCCAGATTTCTTCAAATTTTTAACATTAATTCAAGGTCTTTCTTCATTATCACACAATGGCCTTCCTAGAGCGGCAGGGCCGGATTAAGGGGGTGGCCACATGAGCCGCGGCCCATGGCGGCAAGTGTTGTAATTTTTTCAAACGTAGGTATCAAGAAAAAAATATGATTCAGAAATAAAATTACAATCGAGAAAAGGCGAAAAAAGCTCTCATTTTCTGAGAGTTAAAGTATAGTAATTTCTAATTTGTTCGTCTTTCGGTGATACAAGAGACAGAAGTTGAGAGAGAATCCGAACACGCAATTTAGCCCGGAGCGGCGTGGCGCAGAAAGCAACGATGACGAGGACTTGAGATGGAAAGGAGAGGCTCTCGGCGCGCCGGTCAGCACGAAACACATATTAGCGCCTACAAGACTCCATGAATACTTCTCGCACTGCGTCAAACGTAGTGCGGTCAGCAGCGATCGGCGCGTGAACCGCATAGCGCCTACAAGACTGTAGAGATACTTCACGCATTGCGCCAAACACAGTGCGGTTGACACGGTGGCGGAAATTAAAAATATCAAACCACATTCATGTTTATTCTTTCATACTTTTTCCGTTCTTTTCTTATAAATGAAAGTCCTAGTCCACACAGAGATAGGTTTACGGAACTTAATTTTCGCGCAAAGTTCCGTGAACTTTTGCTAGTGTTGAAAGGGCTTTCACTAAAACTAGGCCTTCAACATGTAGAATCAAGAAAAAGAAGTTGAGTAAGATGCAACTGCATTAGCGCGTGAGTGGACCCTTGTATAGGACATCAGTTTGTTATTTATCATGTCATGAATTAAAAGTTATTGTGAAAAAAGTGTTCTGATTTTGACGGGCTCTAAAAGTATGTTGTAGACCTACCTTGGAATGTAGTACACAACAGTATTTTCACATATTGGCAACTTTAAAATAACCGAAGAAATTGTACTTAAATCCTGTACAATGATCCATTTACAGGACACCAGGGCACCTGGCTTGAATTTTTCTGTAAGTTTGTTTAAATCAATATTTTGCCGATTCGTAATTAAGGACGTCTATAGACTTCCCTTGATCACCATTATTAAAAACTAAATGGGACTCTCTGAGAGAAGGAGCTGTGCAAGGAGATAGCTAATTTCAAAAAGAAAACACCAAATTCTCGTGGCCGTTAAAAACAAAAATGGCAAGCTTAAAAAAATGTAAGACAGAGCGAAGGAAGTAAATTGAGAACTGTCCACCACCATTTGGCAACAGGACCGCCACCCGCATGCGCGGAAAATTAGATGCGATTCGCATGCGACATGGTTTAGTAGGAGCGATCGAGGCATACACGAAGGAATGATGGCCCCTGAATTATGCAATTTACTTACAGGCGGAGTGCTTGTGTTTGCGAACGGACTTGCGGCACCGAATTCGTCTCATCCTCACGGACCACCCGGTGACGCTGGGTCGCCGCCGGCACCGCTCCCGCAACCTGCAACACCAAATTAAAACCACGTCAGACGTGCTAACAAAATTCGTCACCTTCCAGCCAAAGTATCACATGCGCCATGCGACGTTTCACAATTTCCGCCGCCATTTTATTTTTTGGCAGAGCAATGCTGCCGTGCTGAGGAAAAACGCCGTATGAGCCTTCAGACGTTGTTAAGTTTCCTCCGATAAAAGCTGAATTTACTAGGAAAATTGCAAATATTATTTTCCAAAATTTTCAGACAATTTTGTACACAATTGAGTCTAAAATGTCTAGAATTTCAAGAAAAAATATGCACTAACGCTGTCAAAAATACGTGTTTTATCGAGGAATATTTGGCAACTCTCGAATGTTCATACGGTGTTCTTCCTTAGCACGGCAGAATGGATCAACAAAGCTGTCGGAAAATTTCACTGAATTATCTTTGTGCATGCCGATAAAGTTCAGTAAAATTTTCAAACAGCTTCAACCAACAATTTCTCTGTAAAAAAATAAAATACCGGCGGAAATTTTTGGACGTCGCATGGCGCTTGTGATAATTTGGCAGGAAGGTGATAAAATATGCTCTTTTGTAAAAATTCAATTCATCTGTTTTAGTTCGCGGGAGAAAATTCGAATGAAGATACAGCGCTTAATAAAGCGCGCAATGCGCATCGTAGAAGTTGGTCACCGAGGTTAGTGCTGTTGAATCTGTCCAAAGGAAATCAAACAAGCCCGCAGAGGTTGATTATTACATTTGATAGATAAAGCTATAAATAAAAAGGACAAAGGGAAAATGCAGCGGTCCTATTGGTTAAAGCCGGTGGTTCTTATAGACCGAGGGGGAGAGATTGTTCCGCACCAACTATTAGGATCTCTCGTGGGTTCTCGTTAGTTTGGTCTATCACTAACCTCCTTCCTCCATCACGAACACCCGCTTCCAACAAAAAAACGCTCCATTTTGCCTTTGTCTTCCGTGCCTATCACTTTCTTTATCAATTTCAATAATCATCCAGCTGCGTCGAAGGTTTCACATATAGTCCGAGAGCCAGACGACTTTGAGTGACAAACTCGGGATACATGTTTTGACCCCCTAAATCGATAGCCTTGCATGCACTGAAACGGAAAATTTTTGTCTGCCGCCCTCTAGCCTGTGCCATCACNCGACAGTCCTCTATAGTTATCACACTCATCTTTTCTACCCTTCTTCTTGTATATAGGTGACACCCAAGACTCTTTCCATTCTGTCGGTACCTTTCCACCGACCGACATTCGGTTACACGAACCGATATTTTGACTTGACAAACCACATTGTTTGGATGATGTGGGAACACGCGAATGTTAGATTCGTAGGACCGACATTTTTTTATCAGTGGCCCGTAGGAGTGCACTTCAAGAATTCATTCATTACACGTGTCTATAGAGAATGCTTGATGGGATTTTCGAAAAGAAAAAGTTAAGCCGCACGAATCCGACAGTGGCGAGGCGTAAATGATCGATTATCGATTTTCGATATTTCCCCATTTGAAGCTGTGGTAAAAAATCGATTATTAAGGACACTCTGTTTATCGATCCTTCAAATAGGTTTAAATGGCAGTTCAATCGATATATCGCAAAGCACTCCTGGAATCGGACACCGTGGACAGGAAATAATTCGGAGCAACGACTTGACTCAGCTCGGAGAGCCTCAAGGGTCAAAAACATGTAGAACAATGCACTCAAGTGACGTGTCTGCCTCTAATTCCATCCAAGGGCATCCATCAGAGAAAAGAAACCAATCAACGATTATTCCATCCTCAGAGAGGCATGCTCAAAGCCGATCGCCGACGGAGAGATATATTCGAGGGATTTCAAAACGTGATGAGGTATTGTTGATGAATGACCTCTAGAGCTTTATCGAATTTTGAAAGTGAAACGGACCCTTTTTCCTGAGATTAACTTTTGATAAAATGTAGATTAATGTTGCTGCATTGGAATAGAGCGACGTGTGACCATTCAAAAGTTGCCAATTTTCTGAGGACGAAATAATCATACTGCCTTGCTGAGGAAAAACGCCGTATGATACTTCAGGCGTTGCCAAATTTAAATTTATAGAACATGAATTTTCTTCTAATTTTTTAGATAATTGTGTTCCCAATTTTATCTGAAGTTCCTGAGAATTTCAAAGAAAAATATCCATAACTTTTCTCAAAAATAAATACTTTATCGGAGGAAATTTGACAACCCACGAATTTTCATACGGCGTTCTTACTTAGTACGGCAGTATACTTGAGAAAAGCTGTGCATATTTTTCCTTAATTTTTGGGATACACTGGATTGAATTGTGATTGATTACTCAAGAAAAATTATCCTATTCTAAAACCCATATATTATATCAGCAAAAAGTAGGCAGTCTACGCACGTGCTTAGTATTCTTTCACAGTAGAGCAATATTTACGGCAGTAGCTCGAGAGTAAATTCTAAGTCCGATACTGTAAATTTTTGCTTCTCTCCCATATTTATTAGGACTTGCATCTGCCTTAGCTGAACGCCCCCCTTAGTCTTGGACCGATACTCATTAGAGCTCAGTTTGACTCTAACTGAAAATTTTTGGACTTTATGGCCTTCCTTTTTGCCGCAAAACAGCGTGTACCCTTTGGCGGCACCATTTTATCACCTTGTTAGGACTTCAATTGGACCGCGTTTGACAGAAAAGAACCACTTCAGAACCATATCAGCTATTGCCGAATTTAATTTTTTTTACGAGAGAACGTTTAAGGAGATTTCTTTGAAAATGTTAAGGGATTTGATTCGCGCTGGGGAGAAAATTCACTGAAATTTGCGCGAAAATCCGCACGACCCATTTTCGTGTAAAAAATTAAACTACCCGATTAAAATTTGCAAAAGCTTACGTTGCTTGGTTCCTTTCTGTTCAACGTGGTCCAATTGTGCTTAAAACTCAAAAGTTACTTATTTTGTTTCTCATTTCATAAGCTACTTATAAATGTACTATAAACACAAAAAAATGAAACTCATGAACAAATAATTAAAATAATATCAATTTAAAGGAGAATCGTACATAATTTAAAATCAGGTTTGCCAAAAAAATAACGATTTTTAATTTTTACGAGGAATTGAGAAAGAAGCTCGAGAATATTGTTAAACGTAGTTAAAATCAAGGGATAAAAAAAAGTGCAGGAGACTGATGTGGTACGATAAGCAGAAAGTATTAATAACGATATTGAATCAAGTGTGCAAAAATATGGCGTGATTGAACCACAGCTAAAGAAATTTAATGTAAGCGTACAAGTGAATTCAGTCAACCCGGCCCGTCGTCATCGCAAAGTTTAATCCCAACAAAACTCCTTCAAAAGGAGAGCTATGCAATGATGTATACACAAATCCGAGGCATCCACCATTGCTGCGGCCAGTTGCGAGCACGAGCTCCGCGGAGGAAAGCGCTCGACTAAAACGCCTTCAATAAGTAAAGACACCACTTACATGTCTTGCCTTCTTGAATAAAGCAGCGATGACGCGTTTTCCTGATGTGCTTTAAAGCTTATCACATAATGTCAGTCAAGCATTGACGATTTCAATGTTGGCCAAAACAATACAACGGCTCATGTATAGTACGTAATTCCGCTGCTGAAGAAATTTACACTTGGATTTTAGAGAAAAAACGTTAAACTCTGCGTGACATTGTAAAACAAGGTCGATAGTAATGTTGAAGAAGAAAAATGAAAGCCCAAGTTTTTCCTTTATCCAAATTCGGGACATCATTTTAGGAAAAGCAGATTTTTGAAGCAAGTTTTGGAAAAAAGAGGGGCAGCATACAGCGTGATTCAGTCTCGGATGAAAGTAATATAATAGGAAAATTCTGACGGTTTGATTTCGCTAAACTTTTAGAGGCTAATTTAGTAGAAATATCTTTTAAGTGTTTGTCACCGCTTAAATCACTTGGAACCTTCACACGCATTAAGGAGAAAAAACGAATCGGTATTTTCAAAGGCAAATCGAAAAACTTTGAAACGGATGCAAACGGGCTAGGAGTATACAATGTAAAGGAATAGCCCAAATAGCTTACCATGATTAATTTTGCATTTATAGTTTCTTGGGATTTCAAAATTAATTGCAAAGATATAGGACTTGTTTAAGTATTAACAAAAGACTATGGGCAGAAAAGAAAAATATATTTTGTATGCTAGAGAGTCAAGGACAGTCTATACTTTAAATTCTTGGTTGAACTAAAGAGCAACTTAATAAAAAAAAAGGATGGAATGCATGGAGTCAGTGGCAATTTGCGCGTTTGCAGTGCTTCTTTTTACAGACTCGAATACATTATAAATAATCGATATTAAGCAAAACAACCGGTTTCGATAAAGATCGATTATTCTGAATGCAATTAAATGGACAAAATCAATGTTTGCTAACTTGCGAGAGTCGCTACAAGATGAAGTACTTACACAAGGATTTCTTGCTGTTCGTCAGAGTGCTCCAGATCCACCCATTCATCGCTCGTCTCGCTTTTTCCGGCTCTACTTCCCCTGCCTCCTGGAAAAAACAAGAGTAAATACTTGAGAATTAATGCATTAAATAAAAAATGAGTCAAGATTTTCCTTACGATTCTCACTACCGTATTTATAATTCCGTTCATAAAATGATTATTCTGAAGAGATGAACAGCCCAACCTAAATGTAAATACTGTTTTTTTCCTGCTAATGCCTCTTTAAATATCTGACTCTTCTTCTTAAGATGCCATATTTTCTTTGAAGAAATAACTTTCCGGATTCCACCTTAAAAAATTAAGAAAGTCATTCTTGGATGAGTCAATATATTTTGAGTGGAATATTTCTTTCGAAGTTGTCCCTCCAGAATCTCAAAAAAAGTTGTCGCACATCACGAAAATGTTCGAGTTCAAGTCTAAGACCAAACATCAACCATGACGATGTCAAACATTCAATGAATGAAACATACCGTCGCATACCGTTTGGCGGCAATACTTTTTATTTGTTTGTCGTTTTAATTGAAATTCTTAATACTGCCGTGCAAAGGTGAGCGTTGTATGGGCCTTCGTGCGATGCTAAATTTCTTTTTATAAAATACGAATTTTATGAAAAAACGTGTAAAATTTTCTAATAATTTCTCAGAAAATATACAACTCATAATTTGATGCATGGTAAATATCTGACAATTTCGAGGAAACATATTCATAGCTCTCATTTCATCGAGGAGAAAATATGAAAAGTTCGTGCCACTAGAGTCCTCGGCACGGCGGAAAAAATATTCGTTTTTAGTAAGCAACTCGAGAACCGGTTTAAAACTTACAAAAAGACATGTTCTTCTTTACTTAAAAACATTTTCCCTGATTCGTTTGAACCGCGTTTAGCAGAAAAGAACCAAGCAACATCAGCTATTGCAAAATTTAGCTGGGAAATTTAATTTTTCACAAGAGAATGTTTGGGTGGATTCCTTGGGAAGATTTGAGGAATTTACTTCGTAGTATGCAGAAAATTGACTGAATTTGCACAAACATCCGCACAACAGTTTTCATTTAAAAAAATAAAACGCCCAATAAATTTGGCATGGTTCCTTTCTGCTGAACGCGCTTCATTTAAGCATCAAGCTTTAAATAAATGTTAGAACATTCATAGGTACACAGTGCTTCTAGATTACAGATTAATGAACGATGTCACAGATAACGTCAGAATCTTTATAACCGCAATGATAGAGAGAAATTCTAACACAGAAGCAAAACATTTACCGATAGCTATGTGATGCGAGTCAAGTCTTATTTCCCCCGCGAGGATGGAAACCATGTACGTAATTAAAGTGCGGTGGACTGAATTAAGGGTTGTGTTTCACCCTGTGTTACCACGCAAAGGGATAATCGGTTTACCGAAGGTGAAGACCCTCCCTCAAAAGTACATAACCACTATTGGAAGTTCCGTAACGGCTGGGTAACAGTTAATGGTATAAAATTACCCAGAAAATGGCACCTCTCGTCTCGGACAGGAGTGAACGAATGGAACGAGAATAAAATGGCTTCCCTAATTTCGCATCGGATTACAGTCAACAACTGTTCTTACGTATTCCGCGACCTTCAAGACCTCTGCAGTTGAGTACGCCTGGAGTGTGTTTAAACCATCCTCTTTCAAGCACTGGAAAAAAAAAACATTGGATCTAGAGTCCAGACTCTTAAAAACATCGACAAGTAAAAATTCTCTTGATTCAATCAGATTTAAGCGTTAATCAAGAACCAAGCCTCTTAATTTGAGCGGATTACCTTTTGATTTAAGCTTAAATCTGATTGAATCAAGAGTATTTTTTCTTGTCAATGTTTTCAAGAGTCTGGACTCTAGATCCAATGTGGTTTTTTTCCAGTGCTTGAAAGAGGATGGTTCCAGTGAGAGACGAGAGAACTCAGGAAAAACCATCGTCAAAAGTTACTTAACTTCGTTTTTTTTTTTTTTTTTTTTTTAAAGCAGCATTACAAAATTTTTCTGTTTTAGATATCAACTTATACGTTAATCAGCCGTGAATCATTCGTCAAGTATGTTTTTAAATTCCAAACGATCTAGTGCGATCCATGTAGCACTGAAAAAATGTCCCCTATTTTTAACTTGAAAGTAAAGTTTTTAGGGGGAATTTTGTTATTTGGTTGGGTAGGAATATGTAAAACTTTGGATCACGGTAAGAAAGCTGAGATGAAAGATGTGGATACGATATCCTTACAAGAGACTTCCAGATATATACAGTAAATCCAAAATTACAGTATGAATGATGTGACTGAACTTTCGAATCCTCAGAGAGAACTTCTTCACTCTCATTGCAAATATGAAAAAGGCGAGATTAGAGGGTCAAAAAATTCAATTAACATGCTCGCGCAATGCAAGAAACAACTTTCGTTCGATGAATTTTTCAAGTTCAAGAGAGAGAACGAGGTTCGGTCAAAGCTACTGAATGAAAGGGCAGCAAATTTCACTCCATTTCAAACGATATCGTCCAAGGGCCATCATTTTTTCTCTCGAATTCCAAATCGACTAATTGCACCCGGGGGCTCAGAATTTTGATGTCCTCATTTGGTGCAATTATGACGTGCGTTCAGCATTTCCCACCTCATGGCAGCAGATCGAGGGGAGATGAGACACGCATGATTGCCAACTGAAAATGGAAATATAAGTTCATTCTACAAAGCCAAGGGGTCGTCCCACATTGTTGCTTCGAATAAAATGTTTGAACTTTTCCACGTTTTTCTGCTCCGCCTCGATCCTTCTTTTCTTTTTCTTCCTATTTTGGAAAATCCATCAAAGCGTTGCCGTTATCTTTTTCATTTGACTTTCATTTTTGTTAGCAGAAAATTATCAGGTGGAAATGGGACTTACAAGACTCACAGCTCAGAAAACTCAAAAAATTCTTCCAGTTCCAGTATACCTCTTTCCCAAAGAAAAAATATTTGACTTTCTTTAAAACGGTAGAGCTATATTCATTTCCAAGATTTGTAGTATCATGTTTTGATAAAAAATAATAATGCTCTAATTTGTAGGAATTTTTTTATGTTAGGGGTATAATACTTTCAAACTCCCTTTTTTTCTTGCTCCGGTAATTCCTTTGAATTTCCGTGAGCTGCGAGCCTTGTAAGTTCCATTTTCCACAATTTTCTTTAAACAAAAATGAAAGTCAAATGGGATATTTATTTCCTTCATCAATAATAATTACATTCTTTGAGCTATATTTTTTACGTTTCCTATAATTTTCTGAAATCTTAGGTGAAGCAATAAAGGTTTTTACTGGATTAACGGAATTTCCTTCGAATTCAAAGCGAGAGAAATCGTTGCTACCCTTTTTAGCGGATTATTATTTCACATGCAACATCAATGAAATTTCAGCGCCCTATTTTTCTCATCGGAAAGTCAACATTAAAAAGAAATCTCGAGCAAGAATAGAATTAATTACCAGATCAACTTGGCTACGCGGCAAGAATTTTCTGATCCCCAAGCATGTCGAGAGACTTCAGGAGAAATTGGAATTCAAATATGAGTCGAAAAAAACCATCAAATCTTCGTGAAAAAATAATCGCTCTTTTTGGAAAAATCGACGCGTCATAAACCTGACCTTGCTGCTGTAAGAATGCGCGCCCATCAGCGTAAAAGGTGTGAACTGCAGTCGCCGAGACGAAATTTAATTTTTTTGGGTACGATGACTGTAGCCAAAAATCTCACTAATTTTTGTCCGGTGGCTAAACTGTTTTTCGCCAAATTGAGCACCAAGGCGCTCGGAGGGCAACACGCGTGTTCAGATGTGGATAGTGAACCCTCTCAAGATTTCTAATTTGCCTAGGATTTTTTGTCTGATCAGCTACTCTTGCGCTTTCTTTCGGAGGATACTCAAAAAATTAAGCAAAAAAAAATTAATTTATAAAAAATTTAAAAAAATAATTAATTAATAAGAAATAATTAATAATTAATCATTTAATTATTAATTAATTACTTATTGAATAACTAATTATAATGATGATAAAAAAAATTTATTTAATGATTAATTATTTATTAATTATTCCTTTTTAATTATTAATTTAAATTAAAATTAATTGATTAATACGTTTGATTTTAGAGCCGGACACGGAGCTACGAAAAGAGGTTGAAGGTATCGAAGTTAACATTCTTCTACATGGTTTTAACAAATTTATGCTTCCAATGGACATGCGAAGGATTTCCGACTGTAAATCGAGAACTTTTCACTAACATTTAGCGAAAAACAATCTTTAGTCCCACTTTTTGGACATTCAGACGTGTAATCATCCTTTTGCAATTCTCCAGGCAATCTACAATCAGATGATACGTTTTAGTCTAAATTAAGCTTTGCCTATAGAGCAAATATCGTCGCTCCTCTGACGTAAGGGCGTATCTCTGATTCCACATGAGCCCCGGAAAGCTTAGGATTATACGGAGAATAGGGCTCACGTGGAAATCGAGATACGCCCTTACGTCAAAAGAGCGAGGATATGCGCACGATTGGAACCGTTCAAGCATTTATACGTACAACACAGACGTCTATGGTTTGAGAGCAATATTTTCTAATTTTACCTTATAAGTTTCACAGTTGAGTAACATTTTTGAACTTTTCTAGGTTTTCTCTTCACTATTTATCAACTTGTCTCCCTGAAAAAAATGTATAAATAAAAAATTCCTCCCTCCTCTGTGCAAAAACTCCATTAAAAGAGCTCGGTCGTAGACCAATAGTCTTATCTGACATTTAGCCGAATGCCTAGACAATAATAGACAGATTTGAAGACCTACCGAACTCTGCGAGTTTTTCATCATTTTTTCAGAATATTTTTAAACACTTGGAAAAAAAGTTGAAAAATCACTTCTTTTTCAACAATTTTGATGATCAAACTTTCCCTAGACCTTTCTTTGACAAAAAAAAAAAAATTACCGTCAAATTTTTTGATAAGGTGTACTAAATGAGGCATTTGGCAATTTTGAGGCAAATGAAAAATGATCGTTAAAAACTCCGGAAAAAATTTCGAAACAGAAAATAAATGTTCACAC